TATCTTTTTTTTAATGGCCAGAGGGAACACAAGCCCCATGATTAGCTAGAGCCGCAGAGCAGCGGATCAGAACAAATAACTGCTCACAGGGACAGATGGTGGAATGCGGTTGCGCATCACCCGGCACCGAAACCTACATTTTTGTTCTTCCATCAAGAGATTCAGAGCTGACTGTCAGGGTGACTCATTCCTTTGCTTAGAGGATGAGGTAATGGTATTGTGAGGGATGATGTCATCTCTACCTGAACTGCATGCATATAGATAGCTGCTTGAGCTCTCCAGGAAAAGCACCATCTGCTTTCATATCCACAGCCTGAAAGGCTTTGCAGAGATTGGTGCAAAGGTCACCACCTCAAGTATGACTCATAAGCAGCCAATCAGCAAAGAGCAGGTACTGAAAAAAAATAAACTTCTAAAATCATAATCCAGAAGTGTGACAGAATGATTCAATACTGAATCACAATTCTTCTATCTTATGCTTTGTGCTTACTGAGTTATACCACCGTTGAGGCTTTAACTCTGAAAATAAAGCCATTTATTCAGTATGGTCAGTCATCTCAAACCATCTTGGTTGTTTAAAACATCTAATTGGAGACTAATTTTCTGTTGCTTTGGAGATACATGGGTCTTCCAGCCAGGTGGTTTTTGAATTTCAGCCCACATTAGTCTGACAGCTGCTCTCTGCAGTTAGGAGCCTATGCATTCCTTCAGAACTAGCGGCTACTTCAGGGGGAAAGAGTTCCTAGTGGAAGAGGAAACCTGTCAGGAAACGCTCGCTGCTGTGGCAGACCCACCGAGTCTTCCTTTGGTACACTGCTCCTTACCCCCTTTGAATCTACTGTAATTTGAACCTGCCAGTCGGCTGTGTAGAGTGTCAGATTGCTAACATAGGATGGAGAAGACAAACAACAGAAAATACTTGACTTCTTTATTTGTATCTTAAAGTGGCGTAGCATCTACATATTGTTATTGTATAGTATCTATGTCACAACACAAGCTTGTTTTAATGACAACTTTATGTCAGACATTCTACAAATACAAAGTTAACTGCTGTAAAAATAAGCTGCTGTTGCCCAGAAGTATCAGGAAGGGGGTTGGAGAGGTGGCTCAGAGGTTAAGAGCACTGACTACTCTTCCAGAGGTCTTGAGTTCAATTCCTAGCAACCACGTGGTGGCTGACAACCATTTACAATTCAGTCTGGTGTAATAAATAAATAAATCTTTTAAAAAAAAAAAGAGGTATCAGGAAGGAGACTGCAGAAATGGCTCAGTGGTTGTGAGCACTGAGTGTTCTTTCAGAGAACCTGGGCTCAGTTCAGCCTACAGCTGCCCATAATTCACTCATGTAATGCACAGATACATATGCAGGCAAGACACCAGTACACATAAAATAAATTTTAAAAGAGAGAGCGACAAAGAGATATAAGGAAGCAAAGAATAAATAGTAATTTTAAACTAAGCAATATCAGGTAGCATACATTCCAGTATCTTTGGAGAACTTATTTTAAAAAGTCAGATATTAGCTAGATATGATGGCACGTGCCTGGTAATCACAGCACTTGGGAAATACACAGAAGGGTTGCTCTAAGTTTGAGGCTAGCCTGGGCTACATAGCAAGTACTAGGACAGCCTGGTCTACAACATGGAAGCTGTTTTAAAACCTCAACAGAAGCCACATAAATATCATTGTAAAATTTCTGCCTAGAATTAACATTGATAATTCTTTTTTAATTAATTATTTTATATTCCCATCCCAGTTCCCCCTCCCTCCTCTCCTCACACTCTCCCCTTCTTCCCCCATCTCACCTCCCATCCGCCCCTCAGAGTAACACTGATAATTCTTGTCTGATCTAAACTTTACTCTCATGGTTACAAAATGCTGATTTTTCCAAATTCTAATCTTCAGATTTTTATTTTTATTGGTATTTATTCTATTTTATTGGTATTTATTTTTTATTGGTCCTAACTCAGGAATTCCTCAATTTTTTTTCTTAGCAACACTTACTATTGGTTTTGTTGTAATAAGATGGGAATGGCTCACCCTGTACTAGACTTCTCCTTGGCCCTAGACTCAGACATTTCCTCTTTGATAGAAAACTTAAAATCTCGACTTTAGGGTTGAGTGTATTAGCAGTCACTGGATACAACCAAATTATAAACATTTCTGTGCCTGGTTATTTCTACAATAAACACTTTTGAGAACATAATAGGGTCTCAGCTTTAGCTACCACAGGAAGTCACTCAGGGCTGGGAACGATGTAGTCCAGTGGCAGAGCACCCAGCAAAACAGATACAGAGTGAGCTGGAGAGATGGTTCAGCGGTTAAGAGCACTGGCTGCACTGGGCAGTGGTGGCGCACGCCTTTAATCCCAGTATGGAGGCAGAGGCAGGCGGATCTCTGTGAGTTCCAGGCCAGCCTGGTCTACAGAGTGAGTTCTGGGACAGCCAGGACTATAGTGTGAAAACCCTGTCTCAAAAACCAAAAACACCACCAACAACAAAAAAGCACTGACTGCTCTTGCAAGAGGCCTGGGTTCAGGTCCCAGTGCCCACATGGCAACTCACAGTCTAACACCCTCTTCTGACCTCTGTAAGCACTGCATACACGTGGTACACACACACACACACACACACACTCACGCACGCGGGGGGGGGGGGAATGGACACATTAAAAAGAATAAATCTAAGAAAACAGAATAAAAGCAAAGTAGAGAGGCTGGGGAGTAGAGCACTAGACCGTTGCCTGGGTGCCTGAGACCTTTGGTTCAGCCTCTAGCACCTAAAAAGAAAAAAGCACTGTACTATGGGACAGAAAGTTTTCTGTCAGCAAGTGTCTACTGTCGGTATTTTTCTTAGATTTTGAAGCAGATAAGTGATGCCAGGTGGAAGGCAGGTAGGGTTTTAGTGGGCAGTTGTATAAGGAATGGTAATTGTTTGGTTAAGTAACCACGCCAGATTTCTGCTTACACTGGAAAAAAGAAAAAACAAGTGACAGAAAGGTTACTGGAGGTCACACAGGACTTTGAATGTCCTCTACAGGACTTCAAGCTCTTAGGATTTAAGGTCTTTAGTAAGAAGATACTAAAGAGTCATTGAAGATTTTTCAGTGTTGTCATAACAAGTTTAACTGACCCAGAGTGATTAATCTAAAAGATACATCAGCTTAGACTGAAGGAATTTCCAGTTGAGATCTGTAAAGAGGTTATTATAACAGACCATGTCAGACATAAGGATTTGAACTAGAGTATGAAGTGAATTAGGACTGTGGTCTCCACTGTCCTACAGACCCCAGTGTTAAGGCAGAGATACAGGAAACAAAGAGAATGAGTTGAATGCCAACTTAGAACTACTTAAAGCCTGCTGCTTCAGGAACAAAGGAATCCAGGGGAATTCTGTGATTAAGCAATAAGGTTGGATTCTCTTTAAAGGGTTTTGTCTTTAACTCTTCCATTTTCTCCCTTCACAAAGTTTTAAGCCCGATTGATCAAGATAGAAATTGTGTCACTAAATGGAATTGGTAACATTTTATTTTTAATACCAACAGTAGGTCAGTGCCATGAAGAGCTGTACTAAAATTCCTAAGACGTTCTTGGCTAGAGACCTTGTGTCATACCCCGATTTCCTTTCTTTCACCCATGCTGCCCAGTGAATCCACCATTGAAACCTTCCTGTTATATTGCCCGTCTGACAACTTCCTTCACTGTTAACTCCTCTTATCTTCTGCCTGCTGTCCATGCCTCCACTGTTGTCCCCAACCTGTTCACTTTCTTGCTGGTACCTTAATTACGACCAGGTCATGTCTACCCAGAGACCTTTGCAAGCTTGTTCGACAAACGTCAACATGATCTGCTGCCTCGAATTGAGAGCTTTGCCCTGCTCTTACTAACTTTCTCCGCAGGATCTGCCATGAGTTCTTTGTTGACAGTTCCTTCTCACTCAACCCACATTTTCCTGTCCCTTTAACTGTAATTCTGCTTTCCCCTCATGGTGTCCATCACTCACGTATTACGTCACTTGTTTATGATGCTTGTCCCTAGACACCCGAATTCAGGCTCCATATGGTGATGGGTTTTGTCTGTGTACTTCTCCTGGGCCATCCCTCAAAATTTTGTTTAGCTGGGTTTGGTGGCACACACCTTTAATTCCAGTACTTTTGGGAGTGAGAGGCAGGTGGATCTCTGAGTTTGAGGCCAGCCAGGTCTACAAAGAGAGTTTCAGGACAGCCTGGGCTACAGGGATAAACCCTGTCTCGAAAAACAGATTTTGTTTGAAGAAAGAAGGATGACTGCCTAATTATCAGCTGTCCAACTCACAACAGATTTGAGAAAGTAAACGAAGAAAAGGGAGACTGATTGATTAGCCTCCCTTTTACCCTGTGTTCCCTTCATCTGACAGTAACTGGCTGGAATAACATAGGCCTAGAAAATAATGCATGTTTACCATTTACTAGAAAACCATACTATTCCTTATCATATTGATGGCTATAAAAACAACAGCAACCTATTTTGACTTCAGGCTCGCTCTCTTTTGGTAACTTACTCGTCAGTATGAAACGTTCTTGACCCATAGCAGAGTTTGAGAGAAAAACAAACAAACAAAAAAAAAACAACAGCAAAAAAAAAAAACATACTGGATTGACTGTCAGGCCAGGGAACTGTCGGCCTGTGAAGTGATGGAAGTTCCTTTGTAGTTTACTTCTGGTTGATAGACTTACATTTTTTTTTAAGTTTTATTTATTTATTTATTTATTTATTATGAAAACAACATCCTGCCTCCATGTATGTCTGCATGTCAGAAGAGGGCACCAGATCTCATTATGGATGGTTGTGAGCCACCATGTGGTTGCTGGGAATTGAACTCAGGACCTCTGGAAGAGCAGTCAGGACCTCTGAGCCATCTCTCCAGCCCGACTTATGTTTTTGTATGTGCTGCTCAAAACCCTAGACCTTAGTTATTACTCTTCAAGGTATGAAGCTTCTAAAAACCAGCTTTTGTTTTAGGTGTTTGGGAATAAGATGATAATTCCTTCCCTGGACGGAGACCTCTTCCAGTGGGATCGAGAACGAGAGAGCATGGAGACCGTTCCTTTCACTGTAGAGTCCCTTCTGGAATCTTCATATAAATTTGGAGATGATGTTGTTTTGGTTGGAGGAAAATCTCTCACTACGTATGGACTCAGTGCATATAGTGGAAAGGTGAGTGACAATGTGTGTGGTGTGTTGGAAAACATAGGATTTTAGTCAGAGTCTTACTGTGCGGCTGGCCTAGAGCTTTCTATGGAGATCAGGCTAGCCTTGAACTCGCCAAGATTTCAAGTTGGCAGTTGAGCTTTATTGTAATTTTCCCCTGAGGATTGTTGTGGAATATTCCTTTACACTGTGTGAAGATATGTCACTGTGATTGGTTTAATAAAAAGCTAAACGGCCAATAGCCAGGAAGGATTTTGGGGACAGAGAGGATTCTGGGAAGTAGAAGGCAGAGTCACCAGTGCAGAGGAAGCAGCATGGGCAGTACAGAGAGATGAGGTAAGGAGTCACGTGGCAACACATAAATTAATAATTAATAGAAATGGGTTCATCTATAAGAGCTAGTTACAAACAAGCCCAAGCTATCAGCCAAACTTTCATAATTAATAATTAATAATAAGTCTCTGTGTGGTATTTGGGAGCTGCAGACGGGACAGAACAGTCCACCTACAGAGGATAGAATTTGTTTTAATAAGACTTCAGAGGGATGGAGAGATGGTCCAGCTGTTAAAGGCTCATAGCAAAAACTACAGGAGTAAACATCAGAGCCAGGGTAACAGGAGGAGAATTAAATAATATGGCATGCTGTTCTAGGTGCTTTCGCAGTGCATTATTTTTGAAATCTTTGTAATATTCCTAAGAATTATGCATTTTATTCACATCTTTATAGGTGAAGAACTCTTCAAAGATTAATAATAATTCTGATGATAAGAGTAATTGCTACTTGTTTATCTGATAGAAAGCCTATGCTCACGAAACAGATAAGGAAACAGATTTTAACAGGTTCAGAAACTCCCAGGTCAGATTTGCCTTAGATCAGACTGATAGCAAAGTCATTAATGACCTAACTCTCTTCAACAAGGGATAGGGATAAACCCAGAATCAGCCTGCCAGGGATGGGGTCTGTAATGTAAATCCATCAGCAGGAGTGACTAATTTAAACCATCATTTTAAAACCCACCTTAGCCCCTGGATGTGTAAACATATTCTGTGTAGATTTACACTCTGAGGAGGAAGAATGGGCATGTGGCTCCTTAGGTTCCCACGGCTCGGCAGTCCCTCGTTCAGGTGCCGGGCTCTTCCAACCTCTTGGGCATGCTTCTGTCTTCCCTGCTATCCAGACAGGCCAGTGTTGCTTTTTTCTAAAGAGCAAGGGCTTCGGTCTTCAGTCCCCCCTGATGTTAGTATTCTCCTCTGTAAAACAGCAGGATTGGACCCAATCACCTGATTCTCTGGGATTCCAGCATGTCTTCAGCCTTTTGTGAGGATTTTGGCTTGGATCAAACTGAGGAGCCTCCTTTTCTCTTAAGCCAAAAAGTATTAGAAACGGTTCAAATTTTTCAAAACTGTGTACATAATACTAGGTGGAAATTGTGGGGCTGATTGATTTTCAGCTCATCTGGAACTTAAGTAATGACGTTTTTTCAAAGATACCATTGGTTATCATTTCTTGTATATTCCATGGAATTTCCCAAAATAGGGCTCCAATTATGTTAATTCTTAAAACCACTCACTCCCTGAAATAGATATTACTAGAACTTTCATGGTTATAAGTAATTCATTTTAGGATTTAGTAATCTAACTGATGCTCTTCTCTTGGGTATTTGGGCATTTTTAAAATTTCATTTTACTTTTTAAAATTATAGGTGTGAGCCGGGCGTTGGTGGCGCACGCCTTTAATCCCAGCACTCAGGAGGCAGAGGCAGGCGGATCTCTGTAAATTCGAGACCAGCCTGGACTACCAAGGGAGTTTCAGGACAGCCTCCAAAGCCACAGATAAACCCTGTCTCGAAAAAAACCAAAAAAAAAAAAAAAATTATAGGTGTGGTGGTACTTATCTTTAGTCCCAGTACCAGGGAGGTAGAGGCAGGTGGATCTCTGAATTCAAGGCCAGCCTGGTCTACAAAGCAAGTTCCAGGACAGTCAGAGCTGTTACTGTCTTTAAAAAAAAATAGAGATCTTATGCTTGGAATGATGACACACTTTAATCCCAGCATTTATGAGACAGAGGCTGGTGGACCTCTGTGAGTTCAAAACCAGCTTTGTCTACCCAAGCAGTTCCAGACCAGCCAGGGCTATATGGAGAGAGGGAGGGAGGGAAGGTGTGTGTGTGTGTGTGTGTGTGTGTGTGTGTGTGTGTGTGTGTGTGTGTGTGTGTGTGTGTGTGTGTTGCTTTCTTGGTTCATTTTATATCTGTCTTTTCAGCTGAGGTATATCTGTTCTGCCTTGGGGTGTCGCCGATGGGATAGTGATGAAATGGAGGAAGAGGAAGACATCTTGCTTCTGCAGCGCACACAGAAGACCGTGCGAGCTGTTGGGCCTCGCAGCGGCAGTGAAAAGTGAGTATCAAAGTGTCAGTAATGGCATTATTTAGAAGGTATCTGGATATGGTGGTACACTTTAATCCCCGCAGACCGGTGGATCTCTTGAGTTCTGGCTATGCAGGGGAAACCCTGGGGTTGGGGGGGGGGACTCCTTTAAAGCCAAGATTTCTCACAGACTTTCCTTTGTGGAGTTTCTGTGAATTATTTGTTAACCTAAAAGCACAATATACTTTGAAGAGAAACAAATGCCTTCCTGTGTTAATCCCAAAGATGCAAGGGAAAAGGCCACCAACCCAAATTATCATGACCAAGTTAATTAAAGCAAGCAGTTAAATAAAGCAAGCTTTTTTAATTTGTACATACAAGTGGGGTTTGAGAGGTCTGTGTTGGACCTGAGGTTTCCAAATTGGGGATTTGGGTGCAAAATAGGCGGGGTTACAGGCGCAGAACATACACATAACAAGTTAGTCATAACTACCTCCTGAAACAATGACGTCATTGCAAGTTGGTAGTAACAAGGTAGTGATAACAACAGGTCATCATGGCAAGGTAATCATAACAACTTTGAAACAAAGGTTGGGTTGCAAGATGGTTATAACAACTTTGGAAAGACTGGTTACCATTTCCTGGAACAGGCAATACAGAACCATTTATAGCTAAGGTTACAGGCAGGGCATAGCCCAATCCCTGAGAAACAGATTAGATCATAAGCAGAAATGAACCTAGTTTGTCTTTACTATAAGATGACTTTTAAGCCTATGGTAGAGGCAGGCTGTTTCATCACCTGCTTATAGTGACAAAAACCAAACAGCTTTGCATTGTGTCAGTGACACTTGGCACAGATGACTGAGAGAATTTATTTGATGGCAGGAAACTCTTAACACAAAGTTAATGTGTATTCTTTAATTGTCCAGTGGGTAGTTTCATAGTTTGTCTCGTTAGCCCTGTTTTATTTACCTTTTCATTTTTGTAATGCTGAGGATCAAACCTAACCCTTTGCACATACTAGGCAATGTCCTATCACTGAGCTGCAGTTACAGCTCCCAGTTTTAGAATAATCATCTACTCTGCTTCCTTTAAAAGTACTGTTGATTAGATCTAATGCTTTTTGTTTCTTCAAATAATGAATGTCTTATGTAATTTCTCCACTTAAATATATGATTCAAATATTAGATATGCTGATCCTCTGTCATGGTCAGACTTTCAGCCTGATACACTAAACTCTGAGTTTTCTATATAGAAAAAAATCATTTTAGATCCCATGATGATCTTTGGAAACTGAACCAGACTTGCAGATTTTGTCATCTGATGAGATAGAATTCAGATGTCTCTCCTGAAATTTGTTTTTTCAAACCTGATTTAAGAATATATTTCTTCTTTCTATTTTTGCTGGCCTGTGAATAGAGCTTTGTTACCTGCTGCTCTTTATCCTGCTGAGGCTGTTAATTCTGAAAGCTTAGTGGGAACTCGGCCACCTGGGAGCAGAAGTACAGCTTAGCACATTTGTGAGTTACCAGAACCAGAAGAGTTCTAAACTCTGTGTGTGTGTGTGTGTGTGTGTGTGTGTGTGTGTGTGTGTGTGTGTATTACTAGATTTCAGAACTCCTAAACCATTTTATATCTAAGTGATATGGCATTTTAGTGGCTTTCCTGTTTCTTAACTATAGAGGAAACATTGCTGCTTTAGAACACAGACACCTAGGACTGAGGGAATGACTCGCCATTTCTTGGTTAGTAGAGAGCTGACAGTAGAGTTTAGGTTACTGAAAAAAAAAGCTGAAGTTGTTCTGCAAGGTCATCTTTTCATTAGAATGTAAAATTGATGCATTTACCTTGCCTTTTGTAGTGGGTCATTGGGCAGTGTTTTCTTGCACTTGAATAGAATGTGCTCAAGTGATTAAGGAAGACTGCATGTCACTTCATATTAAGGTGATTTTGTTGTGCTTTATGAAACGTGTCTGTTTTTGAGAGAACATCTGACCATAGTGCTTCCAGACTTCAACCTCAGAATGGTTGTTGCAAAGGATCAGCCACGGTTCTCTCACGCCCTCTTGTGGTGGAAATCAGCATTGCATGCCTTTCCAGAAAGTTATGGTGACTTGTTCTGACAAAATTGCTCTATTTTATTCTTCAGTCTAAAAAACAGTGCTGCGTTTTGTTGTTGTTGTTGGGAGTTTTGGCCCTTTAATTTAAATATAAGATTCTAAAACACACCTTTGTAAATTTAAGGTGGAATTTCAGTGTTGGCCACTTTGAACTTCGGTATATTCCAGACATGGAGACTAGCGTTGGATTTATTGAGAGCACCTTTAAACCTGGTGGAAACAAAGAAGACTCTAAAATTATTTCAGATGTGGAAGAAAAAGAAGGTTCCATGCTGGACACGGTGATAAAGGTTTCCGTTGCTGATTGGAAGGTCATTGCGTTTAGTAAGAAGGGAGGCCACCTGGAATGGGAGTATCAGGTATTTGAGACCACTGACCCAGTGGCTACGTCCCTCTGTCCCTGTTCAATCACACACAGTGCTAGAGGGAGGTAGCTCCATTTTGGCTTCTCAACTTTTCTCTGCTTTAAAACTGTGACTTTTAAGACATTTTGTAGAGCTGGCAAGATGGTTCAGTCAGTAATTACTTGCAGCGAAGCGTGAGAACCTGAGTTCAGATCCCCAGCGCCAACATGAAAAGCTGGGCCTGGGAATCCAGATCCATAACCAGCCCTGGGAAGGAAGAAAAAGGGCAGGTTCATGGAGCTCACTGGCAGGCCATAAACAGTGAGCTCCTGTAGTCGATGAGACCCTGTATCAGACATAAGATGGGGGAACTGAGGAGTTAGGGGCTCAGTGGTCAAGAGCAGTTACTGTTCTTGCAGAGGACTCGGGTTGGATTTCACATGGCTATTCACAGCTGCCCGTAACTTCATTTGCAGGAGATCCAACACCTCTGGCCTCCACAGGCACCAGGTGTGCAGGTGATGCACAAACATACATGCGAGCAAAACACCCATCTTCGTAAAATAAGAGCAAATAAATCAAAGCAACCAAAGACAGCCAGCATCGACACCCAACTTCCACATGCACGCACACACTCACCACACATACACACACAGGAAGAAATAATAGCTAAGTAAATGACATGTACAAGTGGAAACCTCTTAAATACTGCTCACGTTACTAAATGTTTTCCCCTCTCGTCCAGTTTTGTACTCCAATTGCATCTGCGTGGTTGGTGAGGGACGGCAAGGTCATCCCCATCAGTCTGTTTGATGACACAAGTTACACAGCTAATGAAGAAGCTTTGGAAGATGAAGAGGACATTGTAGAGGCTGCTCGAGGTGCCACAGAGAACAGCGTGTACTTAGGTGGGTAGATGTAGCTGGGGAACAGTCCACCGACGCCCAGAGTGCGTCACTGATGAGTCTTCATTTAACCTCTGGGCCTTGCTTTGCACTCCAGCAGTCTCCCCAGCTGTCCAGTTCCGCGATCTAATTAGTCTAGTGTAGTCTTTCGCTTGAGACTTATGTTAGAAAGGCTTAGAGATGCTCTTACTGTGCAGACATAAAATCCTTCCCTTGCATCTGTATAGGTTTGCTCTCCCCTTACAGAGCGTAGTTTATTTCATGGCATCTTTATAGCTTTTCTGAAAAACAGAAAGTTCTCTTGCACTTCTGCCTACTGAGCATATCATACAAATACACTTTGAAATGTTTTTTGTATATATTTAGATTAGTTTGGGTTAATAAATTGTCAACAAAATTATATAAACTATATGCTGCCCATACCTCAACCCAGTCTCCATGAAAAACTGTAATCTGAATGTGTTTGGCGACATGAACAAGTCAAATACATCTTCAATGTATTCATGGAAATAAAGAATTCCCTCCCTTTTGTAAAACAAATGAAAATATTATGCATGTACTGCAATAGCATTTGGCCAAACTGTTAGTCATGGCCCTTGAATTACAGTTGTTTAGGAAAACTACCCTTATGGAGACAGTCATTCCATTTCTTTGAGGCACAGGGAATCTTTTAGTTGTAATGGTTTTCTGTTACTGAAAAGATGCTGTTTATTCAGTGAGGGACATTGTAGAGGCTTTATATAGAGGATGGATATATATATATATATATATATATATGTATGTACATATATATATGTATACATCATACCTTTCCTCTGTATCATGTGTCCTAGTTCCTTCCTTTGTGATGGGTGAATCTCTTACACCTCAGATTCCTCCCAGAGTTCACCTCTCTCCCTAGAAGTCCTGCCTATCCTCTCCCTCCCAACTATTGGCCATTCAGCTCTGTATTAAACCAATCAAAAGGCGCCTTGGCAAAGATATATCTTGACAGTGTACAGTGTACACAAAGACTAACCCACAATACAACAATGTAGAGACTCTATATATCTTGGGTTTTGTTGAACCAAGTGTAAATGTTTTGAGCATCTTCTCTGGAAAGATCTGTGTAGCAAAGAAGGGGAATTCATCTCAGTGCATTAAATGAAAGCCAACTTTTAAGAACTCCATCTCGTGACTGACATGTTTTTGTGGTTGGCCCAGGGATGTACAGAGGCCAGCTGTACCTGCAGTCATCTGTCAGAGTCTCAGAAAAGTTCCCTACAAGCCCAAAGGCCTTGGAGTCTGTCAATGGTGAAAATGCAATTATCCCTCTGCCGACGATCAAATGGAAGCCCTTAATCCGTAAGTCACTTAGGAACTTTACAAATACCACTAAACTTTCTAGTAAGCCAGGTGTGGTAGCACCGGCCTGTAACTCCCAGCATTTGGAAGGTGGAAACAGGAGGTTTGGAGGAATTCAGGGTCCTATTCAGCTACATAGTGAGTCTGAGGTCAGTCTGGGTTACAAGAGACGGCCCTATCTCAGAAAAAGAGCAATTGGGAGCAATTTAATCCAAGCAGTTGGGAGACAGAAGCTGTCTGATCTTTGTAAATTCAAGACCAGCCTGATCTGCACAGTAAGTTCTAGCCAATCAGGGCTACATAGTAAGACCCTGTCTCCAAAACTTTTTTTAGCTACTCAGCAAGTTCCAGGACAGGCTCCAAAACAATACAGAGAAACCCTGTCTCAAAAAAAAAAGACGGAAAAAAAGAAAAAACTTGTTTTATTTAATTTTATTATGGGCATGCATGCCCTGTGCACATGTGTCAGTCTGAGGACAGCTGTGGAGTAATTCTGTCCTTGTACCTTTATGTGGGTTCCAAGATCAAGCTCAAGTTTGAGGCTTATATGGCAAATACCTTTATCCAATTAGTTATTTTGCTGACCCTTAAGTGATTCTTTGAATGACTCTTTCTGGGTCTGCTATTTTGAAATATGATCCGTTGCCCAGGCTCATCTCCAGTCCTGAGCTAAATATCTCCTTCCCTCCAAGAGCTAGAGCTGCAAGTATGGGCCATCTTCCTAGCCTTGTGTTCTGTGTAGGACTGTTTGCTTCTCAGTAGCAAGGATGTTGGGCTCTTTGACCTAAATTGTTCTTGAATTAAGCTGTGAGTGAATATTAGATGGATGGATGGATGAATGAGTGAGCCTATGCCTTTCATTAAAGTCACAGGGTTAATAGTTTGCATTCTTTTTTAGATTCTCCTTCTAGGACTCCTGTCTTGGTTGGGTCCGATGAATTTGACAAATGTCTAAGTAATGATAAGTTTTCCCATGAAGAATACAGTAATGGTGCACTTTCAATCCTACAGTATCCATATGGTAAGTGTCATTACTCCTAAGTGGAAATTGCCCCCTTTCATTGGTCTCATTCAGTTATTTGAAATTAATCAATAGAACTCAGATGTAGGTAAGTTGATTGACAAGTAGAAAAATAGGAAGTAAATTTGTGAGGCAATAAGCGGTACAAGTTTACAGCTAGACTGCCAGAGGTGGACCCAGTGGCCAATTCCAGTTTGGGTACCCCTATCTTCCCTGTGTCTGGATTTTCATATCTGTAAAACCAATGTAGTAACTCCATATTCACTAGACACACCTGTGAGATCGTCACAATATGAACTAGCATTGTGCTTGCCACATCATAAGTGTCCACAAATATGCATTATATTTTATTATTAGCCCTCATTTAATTACCTGCTTGATGCTACCCCTTGCTCTAATTCATTCCTCTGTCATTTTTCTGATTATAAAACACAGACTATTACTCTATAATGAAAACAGCCAGGCGTGATGGCACAAGCCTATATTCTCAGCACTCAAGAGGCAGAGGCAAGAGGATCATGTGTTCAAAGTCAGCCTGGGTTACTTATTGAGGCCTTGTCTTTAACAAGCCAGTGCATAAAGGGACTTGCTGTCAAGCCTGATAACATGATTGCTCTAGACCCATTTGGTAGGAGGAGAGAACTCCCTCCTGCAAGTTGTCCTGTGACCTCCACATGGACACATACTTACACAATAAATGCATAATTTTAAAAAATCAGAAAAAGAAAAATGGGTATTTCTCAGGGAGCCACATGAAAATGATCTAAGATGAGGTCATTCACTTTTATCCTCAGAAAAATTCATGCACAAGTCAAAAATAAATGAAACTTAACATGAAATAACATTGTAGTATCAACAGCAGCAACTTAAATTTATTTTCTCTTTTGAAACAGGGTCTCACTGTGTAGCCTTGGCTTGCCTGGTTCTTGCTGTGTAGACCAGACTGGCCTAAGAATCATAGAGATCCGTCTGCCTCTGCCTTCTAAGTGCTGGAATCAAAGGCATGTGCCAAAGGTTTATGCCACCATGTTCAGCAAAGTTAGGATATAAGGGCTGGAAAAGGTACTCAGTAGTTAAGAAAGCATATTTCTCTTGCAGAGGGCCGAAGTTTAGTTACCAGCACCTACTTGGGGTGACTTACAATCGGATGCCCTTTTCTGATCTCTGTGGGCCCAACATTCATGCACATACATATACCCAAACACAGATACACACATCTACACATAACTTAAAACAAATAAAATAAAACTGGGGTATATTCACACATGGCAGTCTTTTGACAGTTTTAAAATCCTCAACTTGGTGTCAGACAAAAACATGAGTTATGTTAGATGTTACAGCTGAAAATTTATTATGTAACTCAAATCAGTAAGAAAACAGAAGGCTGTGAACTAGAAATAGTAAACATGTAAAATTGAGCAAAGACAGTAAGAGAGAATTATGTAGTCTGCCCCTGTGTCGTGCAAAGTGGAAGAGTAAAGATAGACATGCTGGCACTGGAGAGAAGATGACTCATCTGACACTGAAGAGATGGGTCAGTGTGGTTACGCACTTATTCTTCTGCAGAGGACCTGAGTCCTGTTCCCAGCACCCACACAGTGCCCTATAGCTATCCATAATTCCATTTCCAGGGGATCTGCAACCCTCTTCTGACTTCCACAGGCATCAGGCATGCAAATCCTACACATAAATACATGTCAAAATGTTCGTACACATAAACATTAAAATAATAAATAAATAAATACTTACTGATTGCCGGCACAGAGAGCATGATGGAGGTCGTCCTACAGCTATAAGAAAAGACTGTGGTAATGTCTGGTGTTTAACTGGTCCCAAGTGAAAGAAAACAGAAGACACCTTGAAGGAAGCTTGAGTACTAACTTAATTATCAATATGGTGAAAACCCTTGGAAGGGTTTTCCCTAATCATTATTTACTGTAAATTTAAGATGCTTTATTTGGAGTAGAGAGAGTGTGTGCCATTATCCAGAAGACATGGGTCCAAGAGAGTCATTAAGAAAAGGAATTGGTGCCAGGCGAGGTGGTTCATGCCTCTAACCCCAGCACTTAGGAGGCAGAAGCCGGCAGATCTCTGAGTTTTGAGGCCAGCCCGGTCTACAAAATGAGTTCCTGGATAGTCAGACCTACGTAGAGAATCACTGTCTTGAAAAGAATTTAAAAAGCATGTGTGGGGGGGATTATTATAGTTGTCTTAACAGGAAACCCCTTTTGATGTTTATTGTCTCAGATAATGGTTACTATCTGCCGTATTACAAGAGAGAAAGGAATAAACGGAGCACACAGATCACAGTCAGATTCCTGGACAGCCCACATTACAGCAAGAACATCCGCAAGAAGGACCCCGTCCTCCTCCTGCACTGGTGGAAGGAAATATTTGGAACGATCTTACTTTGCATCGTAGCCACAACCTTTATCGTGCGCAGGCTTTTCCATCCTCAGCCCCACAGGGTATGGTGTTCTTTCAACCTCATGTGTTTCAAGGCGTCTGCTGTGTAGAAAGCTTACAGGAGGGGAAGGTTGATGTATTCCGATTTTACCATAGGATCACTTATGCTTATACAGTTGTCCATCACTTTGGCAAGAAGGTACAATCACTGTGCCAAGGTCCTAGAGTGACTGCCACTCTAAATGGTCAAGACTGCTGCATACTAGACAGTATGACACAGCCTGCTACTGCTAGTGTGTGTGTGTTTGAAACAGATAAAGCACAGTAAAAAAACAAAAACTAGCCACAGTTGTTTTTCAACTCTATTGCAATGCTACGGGAGGGCTGGAGAGATGGGCCAGTGGTTAAGAGCACTTGCTACTCATTCACCCACATCAGACAGCTCTCAGCAGCCTGTAACTCCAGCTACAGGGGCTCTGACAGTCTCTTCTGGCCTCCATAGGCATGCACGTACATTTTGGCATAGAGTCATACACGCACGTACTCATATACAGAAATAGAGTATCTTTTGAAGTATAATGACGCACCTCTGAGCACACTGTTGTGTGTGCTGCAGAGGCCACAGTGGCTGTGATGCAGGGCATGGCTGCACCCCACGTCTACTTCTTCGTCCTCGCTTGGCCCTCAGTCCCTTGTGTTCTGGTGTTCATTCCCACAACTCACAAATCAGACCTTGACAAGAGCTCTAGGTGAGTTCTTGTTAAACGTAGTGGACAGTTTCCTGTCCCCCAGCCGAGGCTCTGTGATGACACTGTTGAGTGCGTCTCTTTGACTTTCCCTCTCTGACTTCCTTGACCCAGGCCCTCCCCTCCCAGCCACCATAGTACACCCCAGGGCTCCACAGAGTCTCCTCTCACATTCCTTCTCCTGTTCTGTTCAGCATCAAGCGTCTTAGAGACTCCCAGATCCCACCTCCTTTTTTTTTTTTCTTCAAGAAAGGGGCTAACCCTGTAACCCATGAACTGACCAGAACTGACAGCAGTCTGCCTGCCTGGGCTTCCTGGGTGCTGGGGTCAAGGTTTGGTCCCAGATCCACATCCTTTCGCTGGAGCAATTGTCTAGTTAGAACTATACAGACAGCTCAAACGAGCCGTATCTCAGACGGGGCTCATCCGTCCCAGCCTGTCCCACTGGTGTTTTCTGTCTCAGACCATAGTATTCTGCTCTTACCACAGCCAAAGCTGTTCTCTCACTCACCAGTCACCAGGGCTGTCAAGGTCTTCATCCTAAATATCTTCAGTTTTCATTTCCTTGTCCTATTTCTATTTCCTCGGTACAAATGCCATTGCTCGCTCATCTTCTGATTGCTGAAATATCCTCTAACTGTGCTCATGCCTCTAGCCGGTCTGCAAGCCATTCTCCATCCCCCACTCCATTTTAACTCATTTCCTGTGTTAAGACCTCTAATAGCTGACTTCACATCCTTGTTAGAATGAGGTTTGTCCTTCTTCAGAAATGCAAGGGTTCTGAGTGGGTTATGCCCTGCCTGTTCTGAACTTACCTTTCTCCATACCTGAATCCTTAGATTCCTAAGTTGCATTCTCTGCTTATGTCGAAAATACCCTAGGGCTGGAGAGAAGGCTCAGAGGTTAAGAGCATTGGCTGTTCTTCCAGAGGTTATGAGTTCAATTCCCAGAAACCACATGGTGCCTCAGAACCATGAGGTAATGAGATCTGGTGCCTTCTTCTAGTGTACAGGCATGCATGCAGACAGAACACTGTACACAATAAATGAAAGTACACCCTTTTCCCCTTGCTGATGCGTTTATTAGAAGCTGTCTTGTTTCTCTCTGCCTGTACATGACATTCTGGAACCAGTTCGCTACTTACCCAGCTCTCCAGTCCCTTACACAGCACCCAGCAGGACAAGAGTCAATTAGAGAATAGATGTGCCATGATTACCTCTGCCTTTTGCCTTGCTAATATTTAATATCCTCTAGAAAGTTTTTTCTTTTTTTTTTTTAAGGATGGTAAAGAGACATTGCCAAGTTCAGTTTCTTGTAGTCAGAATATTTTTAAAAAGCATCTTCGAGGGCTAGAGAGCATTTATTTCTCTTGAAGAAGACCCAGGTTCAGTTTCCAGTACCCAGAGAGCATCTCACACACATCTGTAATTGTATTTCTAGGAGATCTGACATGTTCTGACCTGAGTGGGCACTGCACGCACATACACATAGGGTATATACACATTTAGTAAAATCTTTTAAGAAAAAAAACTTTTTACTGACAAAGGGGTTGGCAATGGGAACTTAGACCTATTGAAGTACAGAAAAGGGACTTGCCTTTTCTTGTGTATAGGCTTTTCATTTTTTTCCCCAGTGCTGCTTGTTTTTCAGTGTTATCTCATGAGCTAAGATGATCAGCTGACTTCCATTCAGCTTTGTCCTAAGAGTTAGTAACTCTGCTTTCTGCCTTCTCAGCAAAGGAAGGAGTCTGAAACTCAGTGTCAAACTGAAAATAAGTACGATTCTGTGAGTGCTGATATCAGTGACAGTAGCTGGAACGACATTAAAAACTCAGGCTATGTGTCCAGGTAAGAGTCTTAGGAAATGTTGATGCATACAAACAACCTCTGTTGTATTGAGTTATGAGTTCAAATCCCATCTGAGACATTAGCAGAGTGAGACTTATTTATGCCTTTGATCGTGTATGGGATGTCACTCTTTTTAGAAGATAGGAAGGTGGTACAATCAGCCCATGAACTGTTGAGGGCTCTTTGATTTGGTGAGGATCCTGTTTTTATATTTATTTATTTGAGACAAGGGTTTCTCTGTGTAGCAGCTCTTGGATTTGGGAAGGCGGATTTGTACTGAGGTCCTTGACTCTCTATTTTTGGCAGTTGAGATGATCGCTCTTCCTTCTCTGTGAAGGTAATTGGCCCAGGGAGGGTTGGCATTGATTATATCTCCTCCTTAGCTGTTCTCCGACCAGCTGAGGCAACTACTAAATTAACATGCGTGTACGAGTACTTCATAAGACTGCCTCCATGGAACAGCTGAGTCTCCATCCGGGGGACTGCAGGAGTCTCCAGCTGGCATGCATTAATTCTCACAGTAACTCAACAGGCAACCTTTGAGTTGCCGGCTAGTGTCCAGATTCTAGAAAGACCGCATTTACGGTCCCCATGATACAGAGGTACCGAGATGCGCGATATTCATTGTAACTGCAAAAGGAAGCGTCCCGTGCGCTGTGTGGCCAGTGCAGTGGGAACAGCTAAACAGTGACAGCAGAGTGAAGGGAGGATGAGATTCCGTTAAGTGAGAGCAGCAGCTATCCAGGAGAGCACCTAGCAGGAACAAGAACCCTGGACCTGGGCGAGAGCGTGATGCACAGCACAGGGCAGACCCATCTCCCCCTGTGTTCTCATTACCATACCCGGTATGCACAGCCTGAATTTATGAAATCAGTTCCACCACAGAGAACACAGATCCGGCCTGAGCTGGTCTGGGAGTGAGGAAATACAATCATGAGACTCGCTTTCCCCTCTGAACCTGACCAGAAACTCAGAGAGCCAGTCATGGTGGCTCATGGCGGCAGTCCAAACAGTAGGGAGGCTCCAAAGGGAGCGAAATGGAGAAGATGGTACTATGGGAGCTGACAGAAAGTTCTGGATAGAACAGATCTTTAGTACAATTACTGTAAGAGCACATGATTGCCAGCTAAGCAAAGCCATTTATTAATTATGTGTATGGAATTTATAAGTATGTGAGCATGCAGGTGAATTTAGAATACTGCTAGTAAAATTCAAGCTATGCTTTTTATGAAATACATTCTGAGAGTTTACAGACTTTAGGCAGTTGTGTGTGATGAAATATTATAACATTTAAAACTATTTTTTTAAGGTATCTAACAGATTTTGAGCCAGTTCAGTGCATGGGTCGTGGTGGCTTTGGAGTTGTCTTTGAAGCTAGAAACAAAGTAGATGATTGCAATTACGCTATCAAGAGGATCCGTCTCCCCAATAGGTAATGGATGATGCTTTTAGAAAACTGGTTCTCCGGGCTGGAGAGGTGGCTCAGTGGTTAAGAGCACTAACTGGCTGCTCTCCCAGAGGTCCTGAGTTCCATTCCCAGCAACCACATGGTGGTTCACAATCATCTGTAATGAGACCTGGGGCTGTCTAATGGTATGGATGAAAACAAAGCACTGCTATACATAAAATAAACAAATAAATATCTTTAAAAAAAAACTGGTTCTCATCTCATAGGCACAATATCCTCCTCGCCCTCCACAGTCATAATGTAGTTTCTTCTTCCGACTCTGCTTCTGAGTGCTGCCAAGGCACAAGTGGCCTTAAAGTTGTGCTCTGTAGAGCGTTTTAAAGTGTGGTCTTTTAGACTAGAAAGGTAGATGTCTTGGAGATTAAACACACTTGCTGCACAAGCATGAAGACCAGAGTTCAGATCCCACCACCCAAACAAAACAACTGGGCATCCTGCACACACCTGTGCCAAATGGGATGGAGACAGGAGAATCTCGGAATCTTCCTGGTTTCTAGCCTCAATTTAAAAAATAAAAGAAGAAAAAAATAAAGCCAGCTCCAGGCTCAGAAAGACCCTGCCTTTAAATATGATGGAGAGTGAGGCAATAAAGGAGGGTGCCCAGAACCTTCCTCTGGCCTTTGTGTAACCACATACACACATGAGCATTTACCACGATCACACAACATGTGTACACAAACATATATGTGAATTCTTAAGCCCCCCCCTGAGGCAAATATAAGAACTATAGTCCCAGCATTTCAGAATCATTTTTGTTATAATGTATTAGTTGACTTTCCACTATTGTAACAAAAGACCAGTTAGTTCACTGTAGAGTTGTTCGTTTTGGCTCCTTCCCGAGGTTTCAGTTGATGATGAGTTGGCCTTGTCACTTTTAAGACTGTGGGGAGGGAGAGACTGTGTGGTGGAGAAAACAACTTAAGAGTTCACCTCATGGCTAGGGAGAAAGGACAGGACTCGGAACTCAACAGATCCCTTTAAGGCCCCCCCCCCAGTCAACCACTACATAAAGTTGCCATCACCTCCCTGTAGCTCCAGGGATGTTCCATATCCAAACTGCAGCTTGTGGCTTGCCACTGTTAAATAAGAGCTGTCCTGGACCTGGCGGTGTATGCCCATAACACATTATTCAGGAGGCTGAGGTGGGAGGCTCATGTGTCTCATTGCTATAACAAATGTCCGGCAAAAGCAGCTTAAAGAAGGGAGGGTTTTGTCTCATGGTTTGAAGATACAGGGAAGAGGGTCATGAGGCACCTGGTCACAGTGTGTCTGCAGTCAGGGAGCATGGGGAGGTGGATGCTGCTGCAGTCAGGGAGCACGGGGAGGTGGATGCCAGTACTCAGCTTCCATCCTTTTGTCTGACAGGTCTTTCTACCTCACTTAACCTAATCTACATAGATCATCCCTCACAGGCATGCCCAGACACTTAGTTCCTGGGTGACTCTTCCTCACATGGACCAACAGACATTCAAGAGTCAGTATTGATTTTCATTCAGCTAAGAAGCTTTATTTAGATGAGGAAGTAGGTATACCTAGTCATTATTTCCAGAAATGGGGGTAGAGGACCACTAAAATACACATGTTGTTTAGTTTGTAATTTAGTACGTAATATGTGCCTAAGGCTAGCTCGTGCTCTTGATTTTATATCCAAAGAGACTTCTTTTGTATTCTCTTTCTCACCATGGGAGATAGACTACTTCAGATACGGACAGCGTCCTATTTTCTGTGTTTCAGGGAATTGGCACGGGAGAAGGTGATGCGCGAGGTCAAAGCTCTGGCTAAGCTGGAGCACCCAGGCATTGTGAGGTACTTCAACGCCTGGCTGGAAACTCCTCCAGAGAAGTGGCAAGAGGAGATGGATGAAATCTGGCTCAAAGACGAAAGGTAGCTCGGGTAGACGCATGTGTCTTCTAACCTGCTGCTTTGCTCTGCACAGAGGTCTCTCAGGGGCCTGAAAGGAAAGTACGGTAGTGCTCTGTCCTGTGTCATCATTTATTCTCCTACCGCTCGTTAAGTACCTGAGATTTGGTTTAGGCTTTCCCAACATGCTTTTTCTTAGTATAAATGATATTCAGGCGACCCACAATGGCTTTTCTCAATATGAAATGCTTCTGTTTGGGCTGGAGAGATGGCTCAGAGGTTAAGAGCACTGACTGTTCTTCCAGAGGTCCTGAGTTCAATTCCCAGAAACTACATGGTGGCTCACAACCATCCATGAGATCTGATTCCCTCTTCTGGTGTGCAGACATACATGGAGGCAGAATGTTGTATTCATAATAAATAAATAAATCTAAAACTCACTATGTAAAAAATAAAATTAAAAAAAAAGAAATGCTTCTGTTTATCCATTCTTTTTTTTTTTCTTTTTTAAGTGAGGTTTTTCTCTTAACTTATAAATCAATTTTAAATAGGTTTAGGATATTTCAGGGATTTTGGTTTTTGGTTTTTGGTTTGAGATACGGTTTGTCTGTGTAATCCTGGTTGTCCTGGAAGTCTCTATAGAGTTGGCCTCCAACCCAGAGTCCGCCTGCCCCTGCCTCCCGAGTGCTGGGATTGAAGGCGTGCACTACCATTGCCTGGTAGCTGTTTCAGTTTTAAAAAGTACCTATGCTCAGGTAGCCTGCAGATACCTCCATGTATGATATGCTGTAGGAAGGCAAGCCCTCAAAAGCCACAGTGAAGAACGGTGACACAGCATGCCTGCAGAACGTTCCAGTCCCTGGAAGTGTCTTGTTAAATGACACCTGTTAGAGACTCCAGGATGGATGGAAGTGGCCTCTTGTATCAAAGCCTGTGAGCTACTGTAATCCGCACAGCGGCTTCAGAGTTGTGGCCACCAAAAACCTGTCATTGGTGTTGCTTTACTGTTTTACATTTGTGCAAAAGGCAGACACACAGATAACTATTTCAAGTATATAACTGAGCTCTCAGAAGTAGAGAGATGGCTTGGCAATGAAGAGCATTTGCTGCTCTTGCAGAGGACTTGGGTTCAGTTCCCAGCACCCACATCAGGATGCTCACAACTGCCTATTAACTCCAGTTCCAGGGAATCTAGTGCCCTCTTCTGGCCTCTACAGGCACTGCACACATGAGGTACACACACAAATACACAAGCTTATAACAAAATTAAGTTTTCAAATAAAAATCTTGAAATGGAATAGATAGGATGAGATGTGCTTTGTCCCACATGGCAGATTTTATTTCCCCCGTGTGTTTTGGTCACATAACTTAAATTTTGGTGTATATTTATTCAGTTCTTTGTATTTCTCCCACTTTTAGCACAGACTGGCCACTCAGCTCTCCTAGCCCAATGGATGCACCATCCGTTAAGATCCGCAGAATGGATCCTTTCTCTACAAAAGAACATATTGAAGTCATAGCTCCTTCGCCGCAAAGAAGTCGGTCTTTCTCAGTGGGCATTTCCTGTGGCCAGACAAGTTCCTCTGAGAGCCAGTTCTCCCCACTGGAGTTCTCAGGAACAGACTGCGGAGACAACAGTGAGTCCGTGGATGCGGCCCACAACCTCCAGGACAGTTGCCTGACAGAGTGTGACATGGAGGATGGTACCGTGGACGGCAATGATGAGGGGCACTCTTTCGAACTTTGTCCTTCTGAAGCTTCTCCCTACACAAGGTCGAGGGAGGGCACGTCCTCTTCCATAGTGTTTGAAGACTCTGGCTGTGACAATGCGTCCAGTAAGGAAGACCCCAGAACCAATCGGCTGCATAATGGCAACCATTATGTTAATAAGCTAACTGACTTCAAGTACTCCAGCAGCAGATCTTCTTCCGAAGCCACCCTGTCTACCTCTCCTACCCGGCCAACCACTCTAAGTTTAGATCTCACCAAGAACACTGTGGACCAGCTCCAGCCCAGCTCCCCAAAGGTGTACCTGTACATTCAGATGCAGCTGTGTAGAAAGGAGAACCTTAAAGACTGGATGAACCGGCGCTGCCGCATGGAGGACAGGGAGCACAGCGTGTGTCTGCACATCTTTCTGCAGATCGCAGAGGCTGTGGAGTTTCTGCACAGCAAGGGACTCATGCACAGGGACCTCAAGGTCTGTAGTCAGAGAACGGCACACCAGGGCTTGGGTGTGACACCTGCAGTTCAGAGTGGGACTTAACAGTTGTCAGTCTTCAGCCAAAGTCCCAGCAGAGTGGAGTGGTATACAGACATCAGAGGGCGGCAGTCCAGGAAGGAAACAGGAAAGGAAGAGGTCTCGTGTTTGAAAGGTTCAGGCAGACGAGGCATTTCCCTCTATAGGCTGTTCATTTCTGTTTTACTGTAAACGTTTCCAGTAGTCCTGAGGGAAAAGAGTCTCCCACTGAGGTCCACCACGAGCAGTTATACTGCATGATTCCTATGTTTAGAAATATTTTTTACAGGGCTAGAAAGATGGCTCAGAGGGTAAGAGCACTGGCTGCTCTTCCAGAGGTCCTGAGTTCAATTCCCAGCAACCACATGGTGGCTGACAACCATCTGTAATGAGATTTGGTGTCCTCTTCTGGTATGCAGGTATACATGGGGACAGAACACTGTATACATGATAAATAAATCTTTAAAAAAAAATCACCAGGCATTGATGGCACACACCTTTAATCCCAGCACTTGAGAGACAGGCAGATAGATCTCTGAGTTCAAGGCTACCCAGGCCTACAGAGAAACCCTGTCTTGAAAAACCAACCAATTGGTTTTGTTTTTTTTTAATTACAGTTATTTAGAGTGTACACGCGCTTGTATGCTCGGTGTATGTATGAAGGTCAAAGGACAACTTGTGAGGGTTATTCCTTTCCCTGTGTGGAGACCAGGGCTTGAACTCAGGTTGCCAGTCTTGGCAGGGGCACCTTTATCCACTAAGCCACCTCGCTGGCCTAAACTTCCTATGGCTTTGCGTAACCGTGACACGGGTACCCCTGGGTCTCCCCAGCACACGGTAGGAGGAACCTGAGTGGGAAGGGACAGGGGTCTCTTCACTAGCCAGCTCTGATTTGGGCCAGCAGATATCTATGTTTTTCCCCATTGCTGACTATGTGGGCTTTGAGGGAGAAGCCAACGAGAGAAAGGTGGCAAATGCTTACCCTGGTGGCTGTAGCTGTGAAACTTAAACCGTTCCAAGAGGATACAGTGTTGAGCAGGGCCACAATACTGTGTGCTGAACTTCAAAAATTCCAAATCCAAGTGGTAGTGTACTGCAATCCCGACACTCAGGAGACTGAGACAGGAGGATTGATGTGAGTTCAAGGCCAGTGTGGGCCACAAAATGAGAGCCTGTCTCTGTAATGAGTACATGCATACACACAGTGTTTCTATGGTATAGATTACTAAAAACAGGAGTACAGGACTCTAACTAGTTAACTGATACTATTGAACTTTGATTTGACTGTTTCTTGCCAGGATCCACATGCTCCTGGTAGCCCCAGTAGGTATGTATGAAACCTGCAAACATTTTCTGAGGGAAGTGACTTAAATGTTTGGCAGATTTGGCTTTGTTTTAAGTCTTTTAAGTTTTATTTTGTGCAACCCACAAACTTTTGCTCCAGATACTAAAGTAGCTATAACAGGAGTTGGTTTCTGTGACTGGGGGTGTATCCCCATTGGTAGGGTGCTACCTAGCATGCAGTGAGACCCTGAGTTCAATCCCCACTCTCAATCACTGGCCACATTAGCAAGTTTCAGGCTAGCCTGGACTACATGAGACCATTATGTTTCAAATAAACATAAAGTTACTTTCTTCTAAAATCATCAGAATATTTTTAAAATTTTTAATGTGTTTTAAGAGTTTGGAGAGGAGCCGGGCGTTGGTGGTGCATGCCTTTAATCCCAGCACTCGGGAGGCAAAGGGAGGCGGAACTCTGTGAGTTTGAGGCCAGCCTCATCTACAGGGCTAGTTCCAGGACAGCCTCCAAAACAATACAGAGAAACCCTGTCTCAAAAAAAAAAAAAAAAAGAGTTTGGGGAGGAAATAGGAATGAGAACTGGAAAGGACCCCTGTGCCCTGATGGGATTAAAGGTTGCACCACCAATGCCCAGCTAGTCAGAATGCTTCTAGGAGAAGCACAGGAGATAGAAGCTAGAGAGACGCTGTCTTTTAAGAGTTCTGCCACTAATAGCTGTTGGAAAATGAGAACGGGGCGTAGAGTGCTTATCTAGCATGCATGAGGCCATGTTTGATCCTCAGCACCACATAAAAAGAAATTGTGAGGAGAAACACCAGACCTTTAAGGTAATCTTCAGCTATATAGTGAGGCTGAGATCAGCCTAGCTACTTGAGACTCAAGAGAAACAGAGTTCCAACGCAAGGACTGCTTTTAGTAGCTCTTACATAGTAGACATGGGGCCTTGGGTGGGTCTGTAGCCCAGTATGGGGGAGGAGGAGAAAGAGAGGGAGAAAGGCAGTGTCATTTATTGCTTCTGACATGGGACTGTCGGTGAGAAAGTTTTGGGTCATTACCACAGATTTCAGTTAGAGTAACCTCATTGCTTCAAAGTCACAATTTTATAATGGCATCTTAGGAATCAAGGGAAGCGTTGCTTTCTGGCAGTGTTGGAAGTATTTTATGTTGGAAGTTAATTCACTAAAAGGTTTGATTTTTATGAGATAAGTGACTCCTCTTTCACCACTTTAACAATTCTCACTTATGTCACTGTTGTCTTGGGGAAAACCGATAGATTTCATATAGGGGAACTAGAGTTGGAGGAGCTCATCCGACCTTTGAATAGCTGCATCTGATAAGCAGATTCAAGGGGGGATTTAGAACTCAGGGCAGAGGCCTAAGTGTGGCTCCGGCATTAGGAGCATGTGGGATTTAGAAATGGTATTAACAGCAATCATGAGTTTGATTCCCTGGATGGGCTGTTTCCCCCGTGGACACAGATCAGATGGTGAGTGTGTGACATTTTTTAGATGGTCAGTTCATCAGATAATAAATACCATAGAGTAAGGCATGCAGGCTGTGGCAGCAGGGCCAGAGCCAGGCTGCCCAAATTCAATTCCTGGCTCTACCACTTGCTGGGGGGGGGCTTTGGTTTCCATATCTAGAAAGTGGGGACCAACTGTGATTTTTCAAAGGGTTATATTACATTTGTTAATAGTAAACCGGTTAGCGGGAGGGCCTAGGCACTGCCCTGGATGAAATGACAGACTCTGGAGATCCTCCATGGAAGACCTCACCCTCCCTGGGAATCGGAGTGGGGATTGGGTGGGGGGACTAGGGGGGAGGAGGGGAGGGAGAGGGAGCTGGGATTGATGTGTGAAACAAGCTTGTTTATAATTTAAATTGTAAAAATGGAAAAAAAAGAAAAAGAAAACAGTTAAAATTAATCAAGTATGTTTGTAAGTTTAATTAAGTACTGATTGCACATGACAAAATTCTATAAAAATAGTAAACCGATTAGATCAGCACTTTGTTTTCTTTCTCTAACATATAGTTTGATCATATTCTTACCCCTCCCTACCCACCCACCTCCCTCCCTCCCTCTCTGTCTTGTCTGTCTGTCTGTCTCTTGGAGTTTTTTTGTTTCTTTGTTTTTGGTTTTTGAGACAGGATTTCTCTGTGTAGCTTTGACAGTCCTGGAACTCTCTCTAGACCAGGCTGGCCTTGAACTCACAGAGATCGCCTGCCCCTGCCAAGTGTTGTGATTAAAGGCATGCTCTAGCACCTCCCAGCCTTTCTTTCTCTAATAGCAAACCAAAACTGAAAAACCATGGAATCTAATTTGTGTTGGTCAGCTACTCCTCCTCATGGGGACAGTGACTCATTTTAAAGAGTCGTATACTTTAGAATATCCTATTTCTTTTTTGAAATCATAAAATTCTTTTGACTTCTTTCCCTTCTCTGTATATACTCATTGTGTTTTGTTTTGTTTTCCTTATTTTTCCCAGCCTTCCAACATATTCTTCACCATGGATGATGTGGTCAAAGTTGGGGACTTTGGACTAGTGACCGCCATGGACCAAGATGAGGAAGAGCAGACTGTTCTGACTCCAATGCCAGCCTACGCCACACACACAGGACAAGTGGGGACCAAGCTCTACATGAGCCCAGAGCAGGTGAGTCTTTCAGACTTGGGGTTAGCCAGGCAGTGAGGTAGTTATGCCTAATGAGTGTCCTCCAGTGTCCTCCATACAGTAGCCAGTAATTCAGCCTAAAAACTGAGAGTAGTTCTGCCCTAGGGAACACAACTCCACCCTGGGAGTGGGGTGAAAAATACAATCGTGAGACCCACTTTCGCCTCTGAACAAGATCCTGGAAAGAGACGTAGAGAGCCAGGCATGGTGGCTCATGGCAAGTAGTCCAAGAAGTCAGTCGGGAGGCTGGAGCAGGAGGGCCATGAGTTCAAATCCAGCCTAGGCTACAAAATAAGACCTGTCTCAAAAACTCAAAGGGAAAGAGGTGGAGTGCGAGGGAGAGGACAGACGGCGATGTCCATGAGCAATGTGACAAACAGATGAAAGACACTGAAATGCACACAAGCTTTCCAAGTCCTGTTTGGACCTAAGTTTGTGACGTTGTGTTTGTTCGGGTTCTGAGACAGGGTCTCGTACAGCTCAGGCCTTGAACCCTCTGCTTCCTGCCTTTGCCTCGTACGTTTGTTTTATTGCATGAGCCATCAGTGCTTAAGCACAGTCGTAGTTTGTGTTCAGCTTGGAGACAGGAGCTACAGGATGACTAACAAGCCTAAGGTAGGAAAACGGCATCACCAGATTGTTTTAATAGTCTTGAACCAAAACAGTAAGTTCCTCTAGCAGAAAAAATAAACTAAAAAGGAATACAGCAAAGATTTTAGGAGCCAGAGAGAAATCAGTTGGCCTAAATAATTAGACTGTTCAAATGATGTAGCTAAGACTTGGTGAATGAAAAATAAAAACAGTGTAGCATATCAAAATGTCGTAAGTATACATCTGTGTCCCAAGGAGGAAAGACCAGGAAAACCATAAATGGCCAACAGCTGTTACTTCTGACCTGAGTGAGGGAACTTGGAATTTTAACCTGTTGTGTATTTTCCTTGACTTCTGTTTTTATACATCAGCATATTACCAGGATTGATATAAAAAGGTTTTAATTACATTTTTAAACATTAATCATCAACTGACAAGATGGCTCCATGGGTAAAGGCACTTGCTGCCAGCCCAGTTTCTATCGTTGAGACCCACTCAGTGGAAGGAAGGACCAGTCCCTGACCGGCACAGGGACACAATGGCGTGTGTGTAAATGCACATCCACACACAAGTAAACTTAGAAAAATTAACAAATAATTTAAAATTAGCCATTGTCTCTGGGGTCAGAATAAATATTACATTTAAGTATTGTGGGAGCAGAGTAGGAATTACTGGTTCTGGATGCTTCTTAGTGAAGGGCTCACTTACCAAAGGGTACTCTGACAGCTGGATCACCCCCAAAAGCTGGAGCACCCCACCCTCTGCTAACATGTTCTTTTCATAGCATTTCAACTCTCTAAAATGGTCTTTTCTCCCCCTCCAAAGCATGCGCGTTCTAAGTCAGTATCTTTCCTTGTCACGCGAAGGCAGGGTGGGGATACTTAGGAGGAAGCAGTAAGACCAGCAGGAGAGGACGGGGGGGGGCAGCAAATGAAACACAATGCTTTGATAATTTTAAAAGAAAAAAATTTTTACAAAGTTAATTTCAAATCATTATTTTCCTTGAAGAATATGGAAAAAATCCAAACACAAGAAATTTATAATCTTGGTGATATACAAAAAGAATCAACCTGATAATTCTATATAACATTATCTATATTAATAAGAATGTATACACACCTGTATGTAGGTAGATACAGATTTACAGAACTGGTAAATAGTTAGGTTCCATGCAGGAAAACAATGGAACAAAAGTTTTGCCTGTATCTCTTATTCTTCTGTCTGAAACAGTGCCTCTACTGGGACAGGTGGGATATTACATCTGTGGATTAGCAGACAGGGAAAGTGCACAAAGCCTAAGGACCTGAGTTCTGTCCCTGGGATCCACATGGTGGACGCCCCAACTCCCTGTGGTTGCCCTCTGGCCTCCTCGTGTGCACACGGATGCCCCTCTCACACAAAAAGATAAATAACTGTAATGTGCAGGGCGGGGTGGGTCTACAGCAGGGGGGAGAGAGGGGCAGGAAAGGTAATCAAAAGGTTAGGGACTCTCTGCTTTTTCAGAGGACCAGAGTTCAGTTCCCAGCACCCATGTAGGGTGGCTCACAACTGTCTGTAAATTCTAGGGATCTGATGCTTCCCCAACCACCCCAGACACATAAGCATAAATCAAAATAGTAAATCTTCTAAGTAAATAAAGCAATAAAAAGGGGTGGGCACCAGAGAAACTTGGTCACTGTGTGATTATGCTTTCCCTATAGACACAGATGTCTGGGGAAGGGGTGAGCTTAGGCTGGGCAGAGATACCACCTGAGAACAAGATTGATGACAAATCTTTAACACTGCATATGGTAGTATATGCCTGTAATCCCAAAACTCAGGACACTGAAGCAGGGTTGCAAATTCAAGTCTAGCCTAGGCTACCTAGCAAGTGCCAGGCCAGCCTGGGTGACATAACAAGAACATGTTACAAAGACAGAAGAGGGAGGGGACTGAGTGAGGGAAAGAAGACAAAAGTACAAATTTAGGTGGCTATAGGAACCGTGAGTGCACAGCAATTAAAATGCAGCTGGGATTCCCAGTCTCCCAGAGTCTGGGTTCTTGCTTACGTTTGTTTTTTTAAAAAAAGTTCAGCCTTGCAAGCCTTCAAAAGAAAATTTGGTAACTGGGAATTGTCTTATTTCTCTTCTTCAAATACAATGTCAGGCATACCTAGTGGTTGCCCTGCCTGCTTCCCTCTTGTGGAATACTCAATAAACTGCCAATCTGCTGCCCTCTTGTGGTGTACTCAATAACGTGTTCTTCAAACAACAGCTCAATCTCCACAATTTCATGTGATTAAAATGAATATATACAGGGGGCTGGAGAGATGGCTCAGAGGTTAAAAGCATTGGCTGCTCTTCCAGAGGTCCTGAGTTCAATTCCCAGCAACCATATGGTGGCTCACAACCATCTGTAATGAGATCTGGTGCCCTCTTCTGGTATGGATGAAAACAAAACACTCATATACATAAAATAAACAAATAAATATTTTTTTAAAATGTATACAGAAAATTTTAAGTCCAAAAATTTTATATTCCAGTAACTGGTTAATAATGCTTTTTTCTCTTTATATATGAATCTGTCTTCTATGTGGGGAATGTGGAAAATACAGGACTATTTAATAAAAGGGCATCTACTAAAAATACATGTAAAATATTGTCATTTCCAGCTATGTACACATACACTTATGTAAAACAACATTGTTTTGTTGGAAACCAAAATTGGGATTCTTTTAATACAATGTGACCATTTGTGTGTTCTTGGCCATCACAGACAGCTCTTGTCTGTGAAGCATTCACTCAGTTCAGATTGCTCGGTGTTTGTTTCAGATATTAAAGTTAGTGTCAGTTTTGCTTGTCACTCGGATAACTGCCCCAGCAACTCTGTCACATCTCCACTACCCTGCCATGGACAGATTGGATGGGATTAAACGTCAGTTGTCCGGGTACCAAACAGTGTCTGTGGGTTCTTTCTTCCCTGTGCCTCTGTGGGCAATGACCTTGAATATATTTCCCACGCCTCAGAGACAGGGTGGGGCAGGTAAGGGACAATGCAGATAGATTGCTATAGTCACTTTAGAAGGAAGTAGGGTGACACAGCTGATACAGTCACTGGAACGTTCCACCTGCCATTTTGGGAGCAGGAGCAGGAAGCAGGGATGCAGATACCTAAAGTGGCGTAGAGAAGAGGAGGCGATGGCCTCAACCCTAACAGCCGCTCCCCCCTCCCTCCCCCAGTCCAGCAGTTCTGAGGTGAGCCAGGTCCAGAGCTGTTTACCTGTAGTCAAGTAACTGGCCTGAGGAACTGTTCATAAATAAAGGGGCTCTCTCAGGCACCAGGAGTTCCCTTTGCATTTGAATGGGGCTTTCCATAATAGAGGAGATCAGTTGTGATTCATTGCTTCATGGTATCAGGAATTTATTGAGGGCCTTCTCTATACTTAGCCCAGTGCTGAATGATGGGAAAGGAACACAAAAGCAGCAGGTCTCCTCCCTGCCAGAACGGGGAAAGAACAAGAAATATGCACATGAAAAATAGAGCTATGCATACAAAGCAGTCTGCAATTAAGTGCGTAATGAAGGCTCCCAGGTTGATTAGTGGCTTGGAGTAATGACCGTCAGGAGTCTTCAGGACTATGGTGATTAGAAATGAGATTGCCTTCAGATAGTGTCGCTTTGAAAAGCTTCACCTCAGGGGGGCTGAGCAGCCCTTGGAGGCTCCAGCACACGAGGCTCCAGGTTTCTGCGGATTTTGCTGATGCATATCTCAAGCCTTACCTGGGCTTTCCCTCTGTAATGCTGAGTGGTGTAATTACACCTGCCCACAGTGGAAGAGGGTGGGGAGAGGGCCTTAGCAGTTAACTCTTTACTAACATTTTTACCCAGACACTTATACCCAGAGGTACTAAGTCAGCTCTGGGGTTCAGTGATGCTGTCATAGCAACTGAGCCATCTCTATGTTAATGCTGTGATGATGTGCTCTCTCTGGGGGTAATTTCTTACATATTTTCATGCCATTTCAGATTCACGGAAACAACTACTCCCATAAAGTGGACATCTTCTCTTTGGGCTTGATTCTGTTTGAGTTACTTTACCCATTCAGCACTCAGATGGAACGAGTCCGGGTAGGTATATTTTACTCCCAAAAGATGGAAAGAGAAAAGTATTTAAAATTCACAAGAGTTTTTAAATTCTTTGTGTGTGTGTGTGTGTGTGTGTGTATGAAAGGCTTCCAATCCTCCTGAAAATGGAATTCAGCTGGACTAACCCTCCAGCACCATTGTTTACCTTGATGCCATTAGATAGTTAACAAGGGGCAAAGGGGGGTTATTTTTAGATGTCCCTTTGGCATAAATTCGTTATAATCTTAACAGTATTTTGCATTTGGTACCTTTGTGATCAACGCAAAGCCAGAGGGAACTGCAAGGGTAGCCTGAGTGGGGGAAGGAAATAGTAGTGGCAGTTAGCTGGAGGGAACTGGTACTGAGGACAAGTGGCCATGCACTCATAGCCTTCAATGCTGGCAAGTGACACACAGCTAGGTTTTTCCTTCTCAGAACGAACCATGACCATAGGTGTCCAGGCACACAGTACTTGCTGGGTGTGGCAGTGCACACCTTTAATCCCAGCAGTTTGGAGTCACAGGCAGGCAGATCTCTGTGTTTGAGGCTAGCCTGATCTATATATATTAAATTCCAGGACAGTCAGGGCTACTAGCTACCTAGTGAGCTCTGTCTAAACAAATAAAAAAGAGATCCAACAAAATCAAGAATCAAATTTGTGGCCTCATTAGCTCATCAAAGACACTTTTGAGAAACTGGAGCGAAGGCTCCATAGTTGAAAGCCTTTGCCCAGATATGTGCACACACATAATGCACATTGATATGTACATTAATAACAGTAAACGAAAATGAAAAGACAGTCTGTGGTGTTACCAGTGGAGAGTATTTGCCTGGGATGTGTGAGAAATAGAGATTTCTATTTAGGCTGGCCTGTCTTTAGAACTCTGACAGGATACACCCTCAGCTGCTGCCACTAAGAGCGCCACCTGTGCACATTCACTACGTTCCTTTTTTTTTTTTTTTTTTTTTTTTTTGTTTTTTCGAGACAGGGTTTCTCTGTGGCTTTGGAGGCTGTCCTGGAACTCACTTGGTAGTCCAGGCTGGTCTCGAACTCACAGAGATCCGCCTGCCTCTGCCTCCCGAGTGCTGGGATTAAAGGCGTGCGCCACCAACACCCGGCCACTACGTTCCTTTTTAAAGGGCCCTGTGCCCCCCACCTCTCTCTCTCTCTCTCTCTCTCTCTCTCTCTCTCTCTCTCTCTCTCTCTCTCTCTCTCTCTCTCTCTCTCTCTCTCTCTCTCTCTCTCTCTCTCTCTCTCTCCCTCCCCCCACTGCTCCTGTCCCCAGAGGGCAGTCTCCCCCTTTTTACTCCTTTTCCCTTAATAAAAAAAAACCTCTGCTTGAACTCTGATGCATGTCAACTTTCTCTCTCGAGTCGCTTTTTTAAAAATACAACAGCGATCCATATGAAAACAAATTAAAAGATTAAACACAGTTTTTTTTTCTTTTTAGACCTTAACTGATGTAAGAAATCTGAAGTTTCCACCGCTGTTTACTCAGAAATACCCCCGAGAGGTATGTATAGTCTCAGCGTCTTTCTCTAAGATTGTATTCAGTGCTTAAAGTGTTCTTAAAGACTTCCCTGAAATGCAAAAGTCTTTAGCAGTCAACTGGTCAGCTTCCCCTTTTCAGATGAGACTGTTGACATCCTAGAGCAGTGTTCTCAAACTCTGGGTTTCAACCCCTTTGGAGTCAAAGGAAGGTCAAAGCATTAGGAAGGTTGAGAACCACTGTTCCAGAGGACCCGTCTGTTAGGACTGATTTCAGCCCAGTGGCCTGCAGAGGCCAAACTGTCATCCCTGAGGCTGACTTCATAAAGCGCCCTCACAGGAGCATCATGTTGCACTGACTCATTCTGTTGGTGACTGGCTTATCTTGGGGGCTGAAGAGATGGCTCAGCCGTTCAGAGCACTGACTGCTCTTGCAGAGGATCCAGGTTCAATTCTCACATTGACATGGCAGCTCACAGCTGTCTGTAACTACAGTTCCAGGGGACCCAACATCCTTCCACAGGCAAAACAAACATCAATGTTCATAAAAATAAAAACAATAATATTAAAATGGCTTATCCTAAAAGGCCCCACTGGCCATTGATTCCAGGTATGGGTTAAGCACACAGGAAGGGGTTTAGAAGATTAGGGGAAGATTAAGCTGGTCTTCCTGTTAAAAACAAACTATAAAATTGTCGTTTCTTTTTGTAACATTTTTTCCCATAGTGTGTTTGAGTCCACAAACTTACTGCTTTAATATTTACACATTGAGCTGGGTGGTGGGACTCAGGAGGCAGAGGCAGGTGGATCTCTGTGAATTTGAGGCCAGCCTGGTCTATAGAGCTAGTTCCAGGATAGGCTCCAAAGCTACACAGAGAAACCCTGTCTTGAAAAACCAATATATATGATAAATCCTTTTAAAATGCTGAATCGAGACTATTGTAGATTCATATGTATTGGTAAGGTGAATCTATATCTAAAATCAGGTCACATCTGCACCTCAAGGATATGATTCTGAAGCCTTTCTTTTCATTATAAGAATACCATTTACATCCAAATAGCCTCTGCAGATTTGCAGCCAGGCTGATAGGCAGCAGGCTGGATTTAGCCTATTTGTAAGTTTATTTATTGAGAGAGAATGTGTGAGTGCACGTGCACACATGGAAGTTAGAGAACAACTTTTGGGGTTCAGTTCTTTCTACCACGTGGGGCCTAAGAAGCCAGCTCAGGTCATCAGGCCTGACCTCAACGGCCATGGACATGGCTCAGTGGATAAGAGTGCTTATTGAGGACCCAAATTTGAATCCCCAGCAACCACATAGAAGATGGACATGCTGACACACATTTTTAACCTAGCATTGTAGAGAGCGAAGACCTCTGGGGCTTGCTGGCTGCCAGCCTGGCTCCAGGTTCAGTGAAAGACCCCGTTTCAAGGGAATAAAGTGGAGAGTATTAGATCAGGGTCCTGACATCCCCTGGTGTCTGCAGGTGCTCAAGGACATACAGCACCTACACACACACACACACACACACACACACAGTGATGGATCACAACAATGCTCTTTACATATTCTCTGTGGCTGCTTTGGGCTTTCTGTGAGAGCTTCACACACTTAAAATAGTTTCAGAGAAGTTTTGCTGGATCTGAGACTAAAGCTAAATAAAGACCATTTACCTACCACCTTCAGTGCCCTGCAATGCAGCTCCTGTACTGCACCCAAGTATGGGTATGTGAGTGAATGCATAATCTGTTATTTTCCTTGACTTAAAGAACTGCTTAATAATCTAAAACTAGAACTTCTTAACACAAAACCATTTTTATGTTTCAGCATATGATGGTTCAAGACATGCTCTCTCCATCTCCCACGGAGAGGCCTGAAGCTATAAACATCATTGAAAATGCTGTATTTGAGAACTTGGAGTTTCCGGGGAAGGTAGTTCTGAGACAGCGGTCCCGTTCCATGAGTTCATCTGGAACAAAGCATTCCAGACAGCCCAGCTGTTCGCACAGCCCACTGCCTGACAACTAGCCTTCAGCCGTGCCAGCAACCCTCGCAGGTGTCAAGGAGCAGGCACCTTGAGGAATGTGGCTCTTCACAGCGGTGGACTCAGATTTTATGCTTTGAGCAATGTGATTTGGGACCAGTTTTTCTAAGTCAGACTGGATTGTGGGCCTAGTCCAGTTTTCTCTGAACTTCAAGGAAAGGGCTATGCAAACGACACGTGGGCTTGTTCCTTGTTGGTGTCCCAAAACTAGGTCAAGCTTTGGAATCCTCGCTTTTCACCAGGAGGTAGAAAGGATCCCTGAAATGAGCTGAACTGGAAATAATCTTTATAGCACAAAAGAGTCAGAGACCCCCCCATGGCGACTACCCACTCTAGAGATATGCCTTCTAGAGACACAGGTGATTTTGAAAGTGGTTGTCATAAAGCTGACTCTAGTGTTGTCCCTGGGGGGCACTTGACCCGTCTGCACTATTTGGAGGCACATAGCACAAGCCGGGTCGAGGTTCGTGTCCGTAGTGTCATAGTCTGCAGCATTGAATAGCTCCATCCGTTAGGTTGTCCTAGGGAGTGTTAGGAACTTTTTGTACCTTTTAACCTCCAATAATGGGAAAAATGAAGCTTTTTAGGTATCGGTCTTAGGTTCTGATTTGAGGGTTTAAAAAAAAACTGGTAAGAAGTGGATCATCTATTACAACTAACTTCTTCAATTATGTAATTTTTATCCTAATAGAATCCTATCTTATATATAATACTGTAAGTGGGTATATCCCTGAAATTGATTATAGGTAAGTTTAATCATCTCAACTTGCTAACATGTTTTCATTTTTCCTGTAAATATGTTTATTTTTTATTTATGAAAATTCTGAAATCAATCCATTTGGGTTGGTGATGTACAGAACACACATAAGTGTGTTAACTATTATGACTTCTTTCAAGTCTAAATGATTTAATAAAACTTTTTTAAATTGTACTTACAGTTGACTCTTATTTTAGAAAGTTCTCAAATGATGCTTTTCTAACTTACAAAATGGGATCATAAGGCTCTAAGTGGTTATGCCCCTTACTCTCAAGACAATGTATTCCTTTTATTTTTTTAAAATTGTTATTTATGTGTGTATATCTGCCCCACGTGCACAACAGCAGAGGCTAGAAGAGGATGTCAGATCCCCTGGAGCTGGTTGTGAGATATCTGATGTGGGTGCTAGAAACAGGACTCAGGTCCTCCGGAAGAGCAGCAAATGCTCTTAACTGCAGAGTCCTCTCTCCAGCCCCATGAAAACTTATTCTTAAGCTGTTCAAGACCAGTGTCTTTTCCGTTACTTCCCACGTTCGCACGATTCATAACCAAAGATAGGTTCTGTGCTCTGCTCCTTGCCAAAGACTTCGAATAAAGAGGACCATGCCCCAGAGTGAAGCTCAAAGAGAAAAGGAAGGGGGTGGTGCTGTGCCTGTTCCTGAGATAAAACCCTCCAGGAGAAACTGGCTGAGTCCCAAGGTACAGTCCATTGTAGTAGGGAAGTCAATTCTTCAGGAGCGTGGGGTGGCTGGTCATATCACATCTACATCAGAAAGCAGAGAGGAATACTTCAGCGCTTGTGCCCAGCTTGCTATCCCTATTTGATTACAGTCCAGGAACCTCTACTGAGGGAATACTCCTGCCCCAAAGTAAGATGAGTCTTCTCCCATTGATAACCCAATCAAGATAACCCTCCACACATGCTCAGGGGCCCATCTCCCCAGTGACTCTACATTCTGTCAAGTTGACAGCAACATCTCAGTGCCCATGAAGTCATGTGGCACTCTGGGCTGGTAGACACAAACCAACTAGTCACAGCCAAGAGATGTGTCTACACCCAAGGGCTTGTTGAAGGCTCAGTCTCTGAAATTCAGAAGCAGAACTTTGGAGGTTTGGAAAAGTGACCAGCTCATGAGGACATGAGTCTGATCAATGGGTTAATCCTATAGAAACAAGTCAGTAGTTAAGAACACTTAACCTAAGTTTGCTTTCCACAACCACATAGCAGCTCACAGACCTGTAACTGCAGTTCCACGGGATTCAAGGTCCTCTTCTGACCTCCTTGGGCTCCTGTACATGTGGTACCCATACATACCCTCAGGCACACACATACAAACACATAATTTTTTTAATGGGCTGTTGGGAAGTGAGACCTGCTCTGAGGAAGTGGGCTTACGAGTATACATTTGAAGGGTACATTGCATCGCTGACATCTTTGTCACCAGGAAGTGATCAGTTGTGCTTGACTACACACTTGCCTCCTTTAAATTACGTTTCTCAGACACTTTGTCACAATGAAGAAAGGCTAATAGTTCCATCTACCACACAGTTGTAGCATGTGGCATGAAAACACACTTCCAAAGTGTCTGGATAATACTAGACTCACAGTGGCTGCTCAAGGTTCTGCTTGGCTCTCAGCCAGCCCCGTTTTCCTGTCTGCTGGGCAGCATGGTCTTCTTGCTGCTTCCTACTCCATTTTTATGCCAGTCAAAGAATTAGTTGGTTTCTCCTGACATACCCAACTCATAGCCTCGATCCCCCACAGCAGCTGGGAACTAGCCATTGAAAGCACAGTGACCACTATTCTGCTTATGGCCAAACTTCAGTGAAGAAAGGTGACACGTTTTACCCAAGATCGCCAAGCAAGCAAGAGCAGATGTGGATCAAACCCCAGACATTTTGCTTCCCAGTCAATGATTTGTCCACTCTCTTGCTCTGAACTATGGTTTTATTAATTCTTACATGATATAATCCAGTCTTGTGTCATTTTAATCCTGTATATTGCCTTTACTGATTTCATCAGAATTGTAGACCTGAGAGTGGGGAGGTGTAGCTCGATAAAGACCCAGAGACAGATTTCGGAGTTTCACACATCAAGCTGAAGATCAAGAAGCAGCCAAGTCAGTAGATCTTACCTCTACCCAACTGAAATGGCAATCCTGTCTCCATGAATCCTCAGAGGCAAAAGACTCTGAGTTCCTGTCTCCTCCTCCTCTTATTCCTTTCTTTGTCCAGCCATGTCCTCCTGTTTCCATTTCCCTGCTGCTGGGATTAAAGGTGTGTGATCCCTAGTGCTGAGATCACCTTTGTGTGAAATGTTTATTTTTAGGACTGAATCAATTCCATATAGTCAGTGTGGCCCTGAACTAACAGACCCAGCTACCTGTTAATCCTGAGTCCTGGAATTAAAGGTGTGTGCCACCACCGCCTAGCTCTATGACTGCTGGAATTAAAGGTTTGTATCACCATTGCCTGGTCTCTATAGCTTGAAGCTGGCTTTGCTTTCTGAATCCTCAGGCAAGCTTTAATAAATCATAAATAATATATCACCACATGGAACAGGTCAACAACAAAAAAATAAACAACAGTGGTCAGAACTAGTCTAGAGCTGGCATCTGCCTGGCTTCTTGTCCCAGGCATGCCCCTTTTTCTCTCCTTCTTTCGCTCTTCCTGTTCTCTCTTTCCTAGATTTCTCCTCCTATTTTATTCTCTCTGCCTGCCAGCCCCACCTATCCTTTCTCTGCCTAACTATTGGCCATTCAGCTCTTTATTAGACCCATCAGGTGCCTTAGGCAAACAAGGTGAGACAGATGCAACACATACTTAAGCACACATCCTTACATCTTTAGACAGATGAAGCAGAAACAAATGTAACACATCTTGACCCAGTGAAAATAATCTGTAACATCTCCACATCCTCCAGTTCTCACCTCCCAGAAGTGAGTGGTCCAGAACTGAGTGCTGGTGCAGTCAAGGAGCCTAGGACAAAGTTTTAAACTAGCTACGTATGTGTCCTCTTTCTGGTATTAGAATGGGATAGCTCACCCCCACCTCCCCTTCTCTCCTCCCCCTCCTCTCTCCTCCCTTCTGTCACTTTTCCTGGGGATACATGAAAAACTGTTTCATTGCTTTGCTTTTTTCTCTGAGGCAATGAAGCACACTCCTAGTTCAGCTAGCAGCCACAGTCACTCAGTCTTACTCCTAGAAAAGGTCTCAGTGGGACTCTGCTTGTCCTCTGGTCCACCCTCAGAACATCTGCTGTCCCTGTAACTATATCCTCAAGCACAGCTTTATGGAGCTTTTCCCAGGATGTTGCATTCCTGAAAACACAGTAAATGCCACCTGTGGCTCATTTCCACCAAGGACACCTCTACAGCTGGGGACAGCAAAACAGCTAGCTCTCTTCCCTGGTTCTTTTTTCTGCTCTGCAGATTAAGAAAATTGTGAATAAACAGCTCACACCTTTAACCATAGCACTTTGGAGGAAGAGGTAGGCAGAGCTTTGAGCTCAAATCCAATTCCACAACAGCCAGGAATATACAGAGAAATGCTGGCTCAAACAAAACAAGGCAAAAGATAAGAAAAAGAAGCAAAAAAGTTAAGGAAGGACTGGAGAGATGGCTGTGTTTAACAGTGCTTGCTGCTCTTCTGGAGGACCCAAGTCCATTACCAACACCCACACTGGTTGGTTCACAAATACCCGTAACTCCAGCTCCAAGCCATCAGATTCCCTTTTCTGGCCTCTGAGGGCACCTGACAAGTACTATACAGACACACATATGTACTCAAAAATAGCTGGGCGCTGGTGGTGCACGCCTTTAATCCCAGCACTTGGGAGGCAGAGGTAGGTGGATCTCAGTGAGTTTGAGGCCAGCCTGGTCTTCAAAGTGGGTTCCAGGACAGCCAGCCTGTCTTGAAAAATAAGCAAAGGAACAAATAAATATCTAGAAAGAAAGTTGTAGAAAGGAGAAGTCATAAGAAGGATGGGGTATGAAATGTACCTCTTGGTGGAAAGGCTAAAGAGAGGTACAATGACTTAATGACTACTGAGGTCTGCACACTACATAGAACCACAGGCAATGAGAGCCTGGTGCCCGAGTTTCTAGTATAGATTTTCCATAGGAGGGTGTCATTGTTGTTAAACTCACTGACTCCTTGCTGAGTACTCCAGCTAAAGGAACAGAGAGAAACCATCATCCTTAGCCTTGCCTTTGGGTTCCCTTGAATTCTAGAAAGAACAGCACCTGCAGGACAGGTCTTCCACTCTACTGCACACCTGAAGGAAATAATGAGACATTGTCTAAAACCTCACAGACTTGGGAGTGGGGGCTCACTGGACGTTGGTCTCTTCCCATTGTCACTGCTGTGAATAAATTTCCTGTCTCCACTTCTCACTATCACTCATCTCTTTTTCAACTTGTTGTTTTCATTGTTTTAATGTTGGGGCAGGGATGCACACATGCTACATTGAACATCTGGAGGCCAGAGGACAACTTGTAGGAATTCATTTTCTCCTTCTACCATATGCGTCACAAGAGGCAAATTCAGGTCATTGAGTTTGGGGGCAAGCATCTTTATCTACTATAGACCTATTTTTACCTGCCCATTACTATCTCTTTTTTGTTGTTGTTTTGTTTTGTATTTTGAGATAGGGTTTCTGTGTGACTTTTGGAGCCTGACCTGGAACTAGCTCCTGTAGACCAGGCTGGTCTCCAACTCACAGAGATTCGCCTACCGCTGCTGGGATTAAAGGCGTGTGCCACCACTGCCCGGCCCATTACTGTCTCTTAAGTGACATGCCAGGGCTGTGGTCTGAGTCCTAACCTCTTGGAACTGCCCAAGCCCAGGCTTCTATACTCAAAACACCAGTGACTTTTTGTGGGCAGAATGGCCTCTTTCGTGACACTAGAGGCAGAGTGTCACCTATAGCCCAGGCTGGCTCTAACTTTCAGGCTTCTCTCAACTTCCCAAATACCTGGATGGCAGGCATAAGCATTATGCCTGGCCAAGCATCCCTTTAGTTAGAGACTGACCCACAATTCTCTGGGGCTAAGTTGAGATGTCATTAGCACACGAGAACCTGTCAAAAGTTTCTGAGCTGGAGACAGCATGAGGAGCAATTTTAAGGTCATCATGGTGAACAAAGAAGGGGGTTGACTAGAGGGAGAAAGAAC